CAAAGAAGGAGTATAATCAAGTTTAAAAAAGTTTCTAATTATGAGACGTTTTAAGACCGTGTAACGTCCATTCATATCAAATCGTACTGTTTGTTTACCATTACTCCTCATGAAATGTACCACATAGTCCACATCGATCGCAACATCTTATGGACTCTATATGGTATCTTTTGAAAGGCATAGACTGCATAGAAGAATATATGACTTTCCTTTCACGAATCGCATGCACCCTGTAGACTGAAATCACTAAGCCCTAACGCAGCATCCAATTAGGCTCCAAATTATTCGGAAATTAAAAAATATTTTTAAAACCTAATTATGCATTTGTTCGAGTCTGAAATATAAAGATAACGAGATTATTTATCAAACGAGTGAAAAAGACATACTTTTGTCCATGTTTCCTATAAAATATATTTGAATTTATACGACTATCGGAAATCAATGTGAAGAAGGCATGCTATATATGTAGTCATCCTTTGCCGAGTATGGTTTCCACAGGAGATTGAAAAGAAGTGTATTTAAAAGTCGACATCTTGCCAGGTCCAAAATGTTATAGGATTTTGCCGTAAGGAAATCAGTATTAGAACCTCACCTAAGTAATACTTCCTAATCGGAAACGCATATCAGAATTTGGGCTAAAATTTCATGGGATCGGTCGCTCGCTGTATGTCCACAGCTGGCGGGCATATTTTATCAACCCGCTGAATACTCCTTGCGAGGAAATGAATAATGCTACTTTGCGCATATCCCACCTCACTGTCAGCCAGTAAGTTGATTCTAATAGTTCCTATCTTGGTTTACACTTTCAGCTTAAATTAAAATGGTGACTTGCATATTATCAGTCTTGCTTTAAAATGCGAACGCCTGTCACATAAGCGTTGATAATCATCAGTAAGGCCTAAGTTAGCGCTTACCGTCTACGGAATATGCAGAGGCTCAGATGACGTGTTTTGACGTGGCAGGTCATGATATTGTGAAAAACATTAGTCCCAGATCCGCACCCGAATCCTAAGCTCAAACGTAAAACGGAATCCAAATGGGTCAGACGTGATTAAAGAACCCCACAAAATAGCCCTTGTAAGCAAACCCCCAGCCACGTGTAATACGGGGCCTGGCTACCAACTGCGATCAAGCCGAAACTTCTATTACATGCGTTTAATTGTTCCACTGGGGTTGGACAGGAATATCAGTAAATAGTTTTTTCGAATGGTCGACAATCCATGTGACATTTTGATGCCTGTGGTACGCTCACCTGCGAATGCGACAGAATTTATGCATCTACAAACAAACGGCAGCGATGTTGCGCTGTATGCAAGGCGCCACCGCCAAGACAACGCGGCTGTGGCACGGCATTTGAGGCGTTGTACTAATGATCAAGAGAGCGATGGATCGAGCCTCGGTTGTGTTAAGCATGGGAGTGGGTATTGCCGAAGCTTCGATAGGCCTGAAACTGCTTACAACGTTTCATGCACGCTCCTACAGGTGTGCAGCCCGCGCAGACTTCTCCAGTCTTTCGCAGCGGGCTTTCCGTCGGGACACCTGTCTTCGTTCGTGATTATCGAACTGGGCTCCCAGACTGGATTGTGGCAACCATAGTGGCGTACAGAGGCAGCATGCTGTTGGATGTCGACGTTGATGATAATATCTGGATCCGTCCCCAAAACCAGATCCGACTACGACTTTGAAGTAACACAACCAGGCTGGAGTCGGTGCTGTCACTCCCTCTTGACATCCTACTGGATACTTTCGCCATTCCGGCAGATCGTTCGGTTCCTAAACCCACTGCTGCGCCCTCTTCTTCGAATGTACCGCCTTCGGTATCAATCACGGCCCCCTGTCTCCAGACGACAAACTACGACTAAGAGGCCGGACAAACCACGAGCACCGATGTAGTCTCGTCTGGACTGTAGTCCATCTCAAATGACAAGGCACAATTGGTTCATTTGGCTGTCAGTAAGTTGATTACTGACAGACTCTTAACCACCATTGCAGCAGAAATGGTGAAAGGCCCATCGTGGCATGCACTTTATCATTTCACACATGTTGTATTTGTAGATGACGAGCTCATGGTTTTTAATGAAGAGAGCGTATAAGTCTTAGGTAGAGGCCTGCCCAATTGGCCGATTTCTACAGTAAATAGGATAAAAGGATTAAAAATACATGGCCGATCTTTTTGTTGATAAACGAGACTCCTATCGCTACTAATACAGTAGAAATCATGTTTTAATCAGGTGGATTGTCATTTCATCAGCCATGAGGACCAGACTCAAGCAATCACCTCTGAATGTTGTCACATGACGCTTTCTACCCATGTGAAATCCGAGTGAACTAGGTGTAGTTAGGGTCAACTTGTCGCCCAGACAGTGTTCAATGCACGTGAGAAGATGATGAAATGTTGCCACGTCAGATCTCACCTCCAGCCAGTTCAAGTCACTCTGAGAGCATGCTCAACTTGTAGGCCCTCGGTGGGAGTAAGTGGCGGGAGGTGGGGTCTGTGCCAGTTTTCCTCGCAATAACTCATCTGGGCCAATTTTGATCAGTCATGGCTTAAATAGATTTGACGGTAGTTGTACACATTTGCACCATGAACTCAACACTCGAACTTGCATTTCGATCTCTGTCAGATAATAAGTTAGGTAACTGCCTCAATACTGAGACAAGAACATTCACATCAATTTCGATTTGGAGACTTCATTCCATCCATATCCACTCATTTGTGCTAACAGTGATCTAAAATAACCATAATGCCGGGATTTTCGAGCGACCAATTATAACCCCATCTCGAAGATCAAATGTCTCTATCAAAAGTTAGTCTCGCCAAGGAAATAGGGCAGGATATTTTCAGGGCCCTAGATGTGGAACACTAAAGAGTAAACCTGCTTATTCGTCTTGACTGACGTTTGTATTTTCATCTACATAGGTTCCACGCTGACCCATGACTAGTCTGGATTGGTAAAACGCAGCCTGCTACGTCGAATCATGTCATACGGAAAACTGCATAGCCCGTGGGCAGCAGTCACCCACCTGAACCTAAACAGTACTTCTGCACACTTATACAATGGGAGGCTGCCTTTTATATCGAAACCAAATATGAACAGTCTCGCGCCAAGTAAACTAATCTATTAAACCTAAATCAGACAATTTCCGACGACTTACGTAGATGGCTGATGATGAGGCGGGGTTTGCGCGAGATACCTTGTCTAACCCTCCCCTGAGAGACAACATACTCATATGGGTGCGTTGTAAACTGCTCTGCACCATTAGTTTCTTGTGATTCTGCCGTCGGAACATGAATCATGTGAGAAAAGGAATCAGTTCGATAGTATCAAATAAAATTTCGGCCAGAAATGGCTCATCAGTCAGTAGGCAGAAGCTCAACCCCAGATTGGCTGAACCACCTATTATGGTCTGATCGAGTTAGGTGACGTTTATGGCCCACTCTGTCGTGAGCCCCAAGTTCAAGTCATCATTTCTGAATTTTGTCCTGTGACGTCTTCCACCGATATGACCTCTTCCGAGTGACCGAGGTGTGGTCGGTGTCACGTTAGCGACCCGTCCGCTTGTAGTACAAATGACGTGAGGGTACGACATGCCTCATCCGCAACTGTGCCATCTACGGTCGGTTCAACTCAGTCTGAATGCCTCTAAAATATGCAAGCCGAAAAAGGTGGAAGGGGGGACTTTGTTCTGCGCACATCTTACTCAAAATAGTCAATCTGGTAATCATTTACACAGTCACAACCCGTCACATTCAAGGCTGGGCAGGATCCATTATTAACTGTCGAATTTTGCACCACTAGTCCAACATTTGCCTTTCAATGCGAAACTGTTTCGGCTATGTGCTCACGTCGATCTCCCAGATGTATCCAGGCAATACTATTTCTAAGCGATCCCCTGTCAGATATATTCATTGGGGATATCCTTTCAAATGCCTGTAACAGAAGACTTGCAGTTTAATATGGTTGGGATAGTTGAGATCGCAACTGCATTTTACAGTCATTGGTCAAATTCCACTGGGGAAAGTAAGTTTTCATAAACAATTTCGTTAAATATCTCCCCAGAACTATAACTATGAGACGCACACAAATGCACTGTATAGACCTATTGACTGACGTCGTATCTGGACAAATGTTTACCACAATAGCTTGACCTGCTACGTCGAAACAAGTTATCTGAGACTCTGCATATCTGTAGACAGAAAGCGCTTACTTGAGCCATACTGAGGATTATCAACGCCTGTATTGGTGCGTTGTAAACGGCCCTGTGCCATTATTTTCCTGTGATTCTGCCGCCGGAACATGAGTTCTGTGAGAAAAGGAATCAATTCGAAAGTATCACATAAAATTCCGGCTTGAAATGGCTCATCAGTCAGTAGGCAGGAGCTCAACCCCAGATTGGCTGGACGGCTTATTATCGCCTGATCGAGTTAAGTGAAGTTTGTGGCCCCTCCAGCTCGCCAGCGGGAAAGCACCCGGATCGGACGCAATCCCTGCTAAAGTCTACGAGCACGGCAGTCCCAAACTAATGGATCACCTGACTGCGCTCTTCCAGGAGATGTGGCGTCAAGGTGAAGTCCCGCAAAATTTCAAAGACGCAACTATCGTGCATTTATACAAGCAAAAAGGAAACCGCCAACTCCGCGACAATCACCGTGGCATCTCCTTGCTGAAAATCGTCCGACAGATCTTCGCTCTCATCCTCCTCAATCGTCTGAATAATCATCTAGATGGGGGCTTCTACCGGAAAACCAGTGCGACTTCCGTCATCATCGCGGGACCACGCATATGATCTTCGTCGCCCGTCAACTTCAGGAGAAGTGCCAGGAGATGCGGGCCCACCTGTTCTCTACCTTCGTGGATCTAACGAAAGCCTTCGACACGGTGAATCGTGAAGGACTGTGGAAAATCATGCAGAAATTCAGCTGTCCGGAGCGATTCATCCAGATGGTGCGTCTGCTGCACAACAGCATGATGGCGCGAGTCAGGGACAACGGAGCTGTCTCAGAGGCATTCGCAATGACCAACGGAGTGAAGCAGGGATGCGTGCTGGAGAACACCCTCTTCAGTCTTACGTTCTCTGTCATGCTGATGGATGCCTACCGCGACGAACGCCCCGGGATCCGCATCGCCTACAGTACGGACGGTCACCTCCTGAATCAACGGCGGATGTACTTTTAATCGAACGTATCCACAACCACTATTCACGAACTTGTCTTCGACGACGACTGCGCCCTGAACACCATCTCGGAAGAGTAGATGCAACGGAGCATAGGGCTCTTCTACGCCGCCTGCCAAAACTTCGGTCTGATCATCATCATCATCATCATCATCATCATCATCATCATCATCATCATCATCATCATCATCATCATCATCATCATCATCATCATCATCATCATCATCATCATCATCATCATCATCATCATCATCATCATCATCATCATCATCATCATCATCATCATCATCCTTGTCCATTGCCCCAACGACGGCGGCCAGGCGACCGTCACGCACATCAACCACCCTGACACACCAACCGACAACACCCCCACTGCCTTCGACTCCAGCGGTGAGGACCAGGACTACACCTACTCTCACTGCGACCGCACCTTCACCGCACACATCCGCCTGGTCGGTCACTTGCGAATCCATCGCACAGAGGCCGGCGAACCAGTTCCTGTAGCACCAACCTACTCTCACCACACTCGTCTCCACTGCCCACATTTTCCTCGCCCTTTCCCGCATCGAATGGGTCTGTTCGCTCACATTCGCCTCCACGAAGACCTGCGGTAGACAACCGCCGGCTGCATCGCACCATCGCACCATCACACCCTCCAACCCTGCCTCACCGCCACCACCACCACACACCAACACTCACCCATCGCAAGCACCCAACTGCCACCTCCCACGCAAGTGGGAAGTGTGTATCTCAACTCGGTCCCCATGAGGCTTCGGCTGCACGGGCGACTTGAGCCTCAGACTATCCCGACACGTCAAGCGTCGTGGATAAGAGGGCTGCCGATCGTGTGTGTGTGTGTGTGTGTGTGTGTTTGTGTGTGTGTGTGTGTGTGTGTGTGTGTGTGTGTATGGGGGGCCAGGTCGTGCACGTGGAGCACGCAGGCATGGTCGGTCGACAGTGCCAGCCACCGCGCCCATTCCCCACTCCAGTCTGCTAACCGGCTCGGACAGTGACTGGGGTGGGTAAGTGGGAAGGGAGTGTGCGGTCGACGACTCAGCGCACTTCCTCCTCACTATAAACAGTCTGACGCGTTTGAAGCTATCACGGTGCGCTAAAAGCCGTGGCTTGGAAGGCTGCCAACTGACGGGATAACTTAGACCTCCTCCTTGACCGGAGGCGGTCTGAGAGTCAGGCTGCAATGGCTCCTTCTTAATGTGGCCGTTATGGCACTCGCAACACAGTGTGGAATCCGAGCCAGGCGTCGGCGGCACGCCTAGGTGTGGCTGCTTCGGTCGTGCCAGCCTCCAATCTGTGTTGTGTTGGTGAAAATCCTGGTAATTTGTTGTGTGGAGCAGGGGATGTGGTAGAACACCAAGGTGAGGATCCGTCCGAGCCACCCATCTGCGGCCTTCCTCATCTCCGGAATTCTTGACTCTGTCTTGACACCGGGCTCGGGCGGGGGAGGAGGAGAGATTGTAGGTATATGCAGCCCAAGTCTACTGACACTATAAACCCCTGCGCAAATCACCGTCCCTGCTCCGACCGCTGCTGCAGCTGTTGGGCACACGGTGGACATCGTCGCAATCGACGGTCGAACTATCGTGATGGTGTTGTGTGGTGGGACGATACTTATATTAGGTGAGTTTTTGCTTGGCAAAGGCATTCCTTAAGAGCTTCACTCCCTGTGCAGGTTGTACTTTTTCCTGTTACTGCTGCCAGGCTCGAGAGTGAATCCGAAAATTTGGACGGTTAGCATTCCTGTTCAAAACCATCGGATCACCTTCGTTTGCATTATAAGCGCACAACCTGGACTACTATACGCCGGTGTTTTCTGGAGACCACGCCATTTGTTGTCCCGCATGACTGCCTGTGTTGTCAGTACGGTGAATTATTACACGATTCTACAACAACAAACTCCTGCAGTAATCTGGTTGCATGCGAACGAGAGATGGTTGAACTCGTTAACTATACCACACGGTAGGAACTTGAGAAGTCGGGATGTGGCACACGGCCTCACCAGCGCAGATGAACTGAAGCATGAGTCAGTGTCGTAAGCTGTGCGCTCTTTAAAATCAATGGGGGAGGGGGGGCGCATTTGGGGGAGAGCGCGTCTTTTCGCTCTACATATGCGTGCGAAGGGACTTTTCCGGTGGCACCTAGCAGCTGAATCTTAAAACCCAGTCATACTAGTGTCATCTAGGGGGACGTTGAGCGTCTAGCACGTAACCAGTACAAACCTGCGGGCTGGTTTTTGCAAACAACTTCAAATGCGGTCAGGGTCTCTGGAGGAGTTTGCAGCCTGTATGAATGAAAGCTGTGGCCGTTGATTTTCAGGGGAGAAGGCTAACTATTTGCAAATTGACACAAATGCGTGGACCGAATATCCATGCTAAAAAAGCACAACTTTAGAAGAGTTTAAAATATGAAAGATATGTTAGAGGCAGTATTGCGTTGCTTTGAAATGTCGATTTTTTAAAAAGCGCAAAATTCCGAAAACGTCTAAAAGGGTTATAAACTAGTAAACTTTGTTTTTAAATGTACAGAATGACGATTACGAATAGTGTTTGGGTGAAGTTCGCATCTAAATATCCCTTCGGAATTAGCGCTGTTTCAGATATGGCGGTTTGCCAACAGCCTACTTTCTGAGTAAACATTTCAAATCCGGTTTCCCTGGAATTGTGGTATTTGTTACGATTTTGATTTGAATGGGATGTGGTTCAATAAGTGAAGCAGTATCATGCTTGATTTCACCGAGTGGGACGTTATACTAACAACAGTTTTCATAAGGTCACATACTGCCAGGCCGATCGTGACCAACGAATTCAAACGGAATTGACAGGTGCAATCGTGAACATACCGTTTTGTGTTTAAGAAGAATTTTTCTTCCGTGAAATTAGTTTGTGCTTTTCGTATATTTCGGATTACTTTGAGTTTCATATCCGCCCAGAAGTGCCGCTGAATACTTCATGATTTTCAGTGTTTTCACCCGATCGCCCATAACGGAAGATTTTGTTTTATGCTTCTGTTAAAACCTTTGAAATAAAAAGAATGCCATCGCAATCTCTAAACTTAGCTAAGCTTGAAACTCTTTCGTTTTACAGAGTAATATTTTCGTTCTCTAGGCGCATTAACCACAAAAGTGGGCGAGGGCTAGACTGGTACAACTATTCCCGCCATCGCCAGCTGCCTATACTCCGGCCCTAGGATGTGGAGACCCGCGGCATGCATATATATAATGTTAGGGTCGCTAACCGATCGTTTTTACGGAACTAACTCGTTCCGCTGTGCCTTAGGGGCTCTCTCTCAAGCCCAACCAGCAGCCGCACAGCGACGCATGATATAGGCAGAATGGCATACCGACAAAGACAAGGAAGAGTGCAATGTCCATTTCCGGCTTATTAGACGTCGTCGGACAGTCATAACCAACACCGTAGTGTGGAACACACGAGGCCCGAACTCGCGATCTGTTAGTTAGAAGTCCACGCCTCTAACCACTAGGCCACAAGCCCGTTGCTCTGTCGGTTTTCGATTCTGTGTATATCATGTGACGCTGTGCGGCTGCTGGTTTTGCTCGAGAGAGAGCCCGTAAGGCACAACGGAACGAGTGAGTTCAGTATGAACGATCGGTGAGCGGCCCCCACCATTGTATATTCCCGATTGAAAACCGACAGGGCAACGGGCTCATGGCTCAGTGGTTAGAGGCGTGGACTTCTAACAAACAGGTCGCGGGTTCAAGCCCCGTGTGTTCCACACTTCGGGGTTGGGTATGAATGGCTGACGACGGCTAATAGGCCAGAAATGGTCATTCTAGTCGCCTTGTCTTTGTCGGTAATGCCCTTCTGCACACACATGTATATATAAATGAAAAAGAGAAGCCTCTTTGGAAAATCGAGTTGTACTCGTAAATTTTCTGGTCGGTGACACCGACCCGTCATCAGGCGAAATTAACAGAGGGGTAGTGAAATCGGCAGACTAGGTCGGCTGGCGCGACAGGACAGACGACGACGAAGACAGCTGATGCCCCTCTGCCCCACAGCCTACCATAACTCGGTGCCCACCCCCTCACGCATCAGCTGTCCGTTTGTCGCTGTCTGTCCTGTCGCGCTAGCTGACCTAGTCTGCCGATTTCACTTTCCCCTCTGTTCATTTCTTCTGACGACGGGTCGATGTCACTGACTTGAAAATTTACTAGTACAACTGGATTTTCCGAAGAGCCTTTCCTTTTTTATTATATCACCTCGGAATGCACACCACATCAGTTATTCATGCACGTATATATTCATCTAAGCATTCGAACAGACACTACAACAATCTAACCAGGGTCTAACATACCACCATACCATGGAGAGCGAAACCCCAGACTGGAATCTTTGCAGACAAGGATCAGTAAGCACCCTTGGAGTATTGCTGCAAAGTGACAAGTTTGACTTGGATGGTACTTTCATCGCGAGCCAGTTATGCCCCAAATTCAGATTACGTGGTTAGGGGATTTAAACACGGGTTTAATCGGGTTTCAAAACGGGTTTAGTCGGCTCGAATATTTTTGAAACGTGTCACTAACGCGAACCATAGGTAAACTTCCAAACCAGAGATGAACAACACGTAGCTCAGGTGGTTAGAACGCCGGCTATATTCAGACCTCGCCATGGCTGCTCTGGGCTTGAATTCTACCGAGAAGACCTAGCCTTTCACAATTGAGCCAAATGTCTCGATCTTTTATTCGGCACAAAATCAAGCAGAGAATTGTTTCGGCCTTTCACATTTTCTATTAACCACTAAACAAGTACTCAATAAGCCATTTGATTTCAACGCTACGTTACTTCCATTTTACTCTTTCAACTAACGTTCTCAAGGGAGTATTGTGAGATGATGGAAAAATGATTATTTCGAAAGCAAAATTCGGATGCTGGATTCTGACAATTAAGTTTGCCACCTAACCATCCGTTGTGAGAGTGAGATCAGGCCTAGTATAGGCATCTAAACGGGGAACCTACAAAACAGGAAGATATAAATATGCAGTGAGTGGCCTATCTCAGGAGCTATTCACCAAAACTCTGGAATGTAGTTTCGACTAGGAAGGAGTAATTAGGTATGGTTGCAGTAGTGATTTTCAGATAGTTAACCCCCTGACAGTCCGGTCACGACTGGAGGCCGGCTTTTGAACGCGTTCCTTTTCGGCCGCCTGTAAAAACCACACTCTGTAAAATGGAAATACATGGGTAATATGATTCCTACCATTGAATTTCTGTTCCCTTGGCCCTATTGCGAAACCTCGGCAGCCTCGGAGGGATTCGAACCCGCGAGTGCAAGGGCAAGGCTTCATTTCAGCCAGCGCTCCAAGCGTCAGCGTTTTAACCCACCCAGGCCGTCAAGTTTCCACAGATAAATTTGGCAAATCTCTAAATGCAACTATAAATTCAGGTATATTTTATAGAAAATGTGCGCACAGGCACTCTTTCTTGCACTAATTTTG